ACATTGTAATATTGCCCTTTTTGTTGCATTACACACATTACATTACATATTTTCTACTTAGTAGTCATTCTATTTCCAAACTATATAAAATTTTATTTGAAACGTGGTTCAGCAATATCGGAAATCCACTTTACAGAATTCACAACACGTCCCCATCTCTGTGCAGAAATAATTAGAATTAATTTAATATGCTTCAAATGGTATCGTATACGTAATATAATGAGGACTTTGAGATGGGATTTGTGTCAAAACACTTTAACAAATTCTGTACTCGTGCTGCAGATCAACGTAAGATAGATCCAAGTATTTTGCATTGCAAGAGATTATTGTTAAATGTTTGAATATGTCATATAATGCTTAAAGCCAGATTTGAAGGTTTACAGCATATGCATAAAAAAGTTTGCAAAGATCTTCGTTTGATGGCCCAACAAAGGATTTAAAAATGTTCAGCGACAATTGTCATGCTTGAGAAATTAAACTATTTGCTTAACGAATGCCATTCAAAGTGGCATAAAAAAGAGAAAAACATAAAAATGTGGTATGAGTGGCAGGCATGGGAATAAGAGCTGAGGGCTTGGATGCTGCTGGAAAAGTGTCGAAGTTGAGCAGCGGCTTATGATCGTGCTCAAGGACGCTTATAAAACAAATAATGCGAAATGTATTAAAAACTATAACTTGCCGCCATTTGACATAAATGCCAATTTAAATGCTGCAAAACGCATAAATCAACAAACGAGAGTTGTTGCCGAGGTTGTTGTTGCTGTGCTTGCTGCCTCTGCTGCTGTTGTCTGTTGTTGTCGTGTTTTAGCCAAACAAACGATCAGCAAGTGGCGCACCTCAAAAACGTTTTCTGGCAAAAATGTTTTGTGCCCGCGGCAAACGGCAAAGCAATTGAAGAAGACACCAACAGCAGAAGGCGCAGAGTTCAGCCGAGGCAAAGGCAGCAACTGCAACTGAGTGACAAAAGTTGCCAGCAACTGCTGCAAATGGCGTCTAATTGAATTAACATAAACTGAATAAGAGAATATAAAAAAAGTTGTCTTAATAAATGCGCATAATTTGTGTGCCACACAGCACATCCTGGTCAGCTGGAGAGCATAGCGCTCTGGCATTTAGCTGGCTCAGTAGGAAATGACAGTCAGTGCAGCAGCAGCAGCAGCAGCAGCAGCAGCGGCAGCAGATCCACGAACAATGGCCAGTATCAAAAGTCTTGGCCTGAAAGCTCATTAACATGATTACAATGAATAATTCCACACATATTCCAACATTGTTGCAAATAATTACGAAAAGTGCATTTGTATGGCCATGCAATTAGTCACAGATAGCACAACAACAACTGCTGCTGGGTGTCGCTGCAGCATCTGCAACTCGCCGCGCCGGATTCTTGGCGAAATCAGCCGCCACCGCCACCGCCAGCTTTGCCGTTGCCATTCCCATAATTTGCAAAAATATTTTTTATCTTTTTTTTTTTTATATTTTATTTATTTTGTTGTTCGCCTCAGCTTAGGCACCGCGCCGCTGTCTATATGGCCCAGCACTTGGCAACTGCAGTTGTCTATAACATTTTCTCACGTTTCGTCTTGAAAGATTTCGGCACAAGTTGCGCCTTCGCGCTGCTGCCGCCTAATGGCGGGGGTGAAGCCTAATGCGCATTTTATGCAAATGCAAATGCAAAAAAAAAAAAAATGACTCGAATGCAGCTTTATCTAAGCATATGTATGTGCTTATTGCTCGGTTGTTGTCTCAGTTTGGCCAGTCTATGAGCGCAAATTAAGATGACAGAAGCGAGTCTATTAAAACAAGTTCGTTGCCTAAGTCTTTCATTTTTTTGTTTAATGTGCAAATAAAACCCCGCATCTGTACATTTTTTCTTAGTTTTGCAATGGTCATGCGTTTGACCAACTGTCAAATTAGCCGACTGACTGACCAACTGACTGGCCGGCTGGCTGACCCAATCCTGCGCCTGTGCCCGTTACCAGCCGCCGCGCTTGCGTTCAGCCATTTCGCAAGCGGCTGTCGCATCATAAACTGTAAATTGCACAGCTGCGACTGAATTTGCCACGTGCAGGCGTACCAAATCTCAGCCCATGCGAAATGTTTTCTGGGTATGTGTCTCTGTGTGTGTGTGTGATTTCTTATTATGAGCTTTTCCACTTTATCAACGGAAAATCTGCTGGCAACCGCACACATGCCCATGCTCATTGCTGCACAATTACTCAATGGGCCCAGACAGCAATTGCAATTGAAATGCCCAGCTCCAGAGCTGAAGCTGCCAAGCACATAGCACCCAGCACCCAGCTCCCAGCTCCCAGCTCCCAACCCCATTCCCATTGCCATTCCATTCCATTCCATCCTCGACTTGTTAGTCGGCCTGCTGCTAACTTTTTGGCATTATTTTTGGCGCGCCAGCAAATGCCAGCCAGGCGCTTGCCTGCGCCGCGCATCTTCAGCTTAATTGAAATTTACTTTTGCTGCTGCTGCTGCTGTTGATGTTGTTGATGCTGCTGCTGGTGAATGTCTGCATGCATTTTGCATTGGCTGTGGCTCCCACACATTTTGCAAATGCTTTCGGCACTTTTACTGCACTCTAGCAGCCGCTTATATAATCACAAAAATACCAACAACAGCAAGAAGAAGGAGAAATATTAAATAATTTACGGGGCAAATGTATTGGAATTCTTAACGAGTTGTTGCTGATGCTGCTGCCGCAAGACCCTTTTACCACTTGCCAGCCATTGAGCTGCTTGTAGCTGCCAAGTTGTACAACAAAATCGTGGCGCATTTATCAATGTCAGTCCACGCGGAGGCCATACAAATTGATGTGTATTTAATTGAAAGCGAGCGCTAATTAGAATTATGCCTAAGCTGCTGTGTAATGCCACAGGAAAATCGAGTTCGTGTCTTAAGTCTTTTGTTAGTCACTTTAATATTTTTCAATTTTTTTTTTTTGGTTTTACAGTGTCCACTGCACACTTCCTAGTTATTAGACATTCCCACGCAGTTGGGCAACAGCATCGCGTGAGTCATAGCCTTTCTTTGCGCGCAGATGACACAAAACGTAGGCCAAGCAAAAATAAATTGAACATTTATTATGTTTTTCTAGGCAGCCCCACAAAAAAAAAAAAAAAAAAACCAAAACGACCAGGCAAACTCTTACACAATCATTGCAGCTGAACTCTGAACATGAGCCGAGAAATTAGAAAAAAAAAAAACATAAAATGATGCTAAGCGAGCTGCAGGCACAGCTACAACTAGTCAGCACATGGCCATATGCCAAGCTGCCAGGCTGAAAGTCAACAAGTCACAAAGGCTCGTCTTCACTTTGGAGCAGGCAGTTGACATTTTTTTGCTTTTCAGTGCTGCTGAGCATTTTCCGGCAGCCCCAGCTCAGCTTTGAAATGCCAAGCTGCCAGTTTAGGGCCACGTTTTGATGGACATTAGGCGCATTTTGAGCCGCCTTCATTTGCCGCCTTTGGACAAATCAAAACGGCAAACAAAAATCTAAATAGCAACGCCCAAGAAATAGGAAAAAAAAAAAAAACAAAACAAAAGAAGAAAAACAGAAAATCTGCAAGATCTCTGCGGGCGTGCAAATTCCCACACTGCAACAAATGCCGCGCATTCCCCACACTCTGTGCCACACTCTACTCACCCATATACGCGAACCGGATTGCCGAGGGCAGCGACAGCGGCAGCGGCAGCAGCGCGACTTTTGGCCCGACATAAGCAGCAGCAGTGGCAGCAGCGGCAGCAGCAAGAGTAAATGACAATGCCGCCGCGCCATGACTAACTATGACATAATACCAGCGGAAGATGCAACCGAGATGCGGCGCGCTGCAAGCCACATGCATGTAATTGCAGCCGAGCTGCGGTGGGAGTGCGGTCGTACTCGCTCATAATCATCGGCTGAGAAGGCCTACAGCCTACCGCCAGCTGACGTAAGTGAGTGACAAACGATGCCAAAACTGCAACTGGGCTGTCGCTCAAACAATGCGCAAGTGTCACACGTTGCGTATGCGTAATGTGCGTTAAGCATGCGACACATGCGCCCAGTTAGAGTCCAACTTTGTGCTGTAGTCGTGCGGCGCTTCTAGCAGCGACGCGATGCGACGATGCGACTCGTGTGTGCGCTGCCGATGCCAACGCCGACGCCGTCGTCGACTTTTGCTCTGCTGCTTTTGGCCGCTTCTGCTGATGAGGCCCAAGTGGTTTTTCCTTTCGCTTTCAGAAATCATTTCGCTTCGACAACGTTAACGATAAAGTCGCAAAACGCGCAACACAGCGCCTCTCGTTTGGCTCGTCTCGTGCGGTTCGTAGTTCAATCAGTAACAGCTTTAAGCACAAAACAGTGACTGTCACTGTCACTGTGACTGTGACGGTGACTGAGTGTTTTGTTGTCTGCCTGTTTGCCCAGTCAAGTGGCAAAGAGTTCGTCTTCGTCTTCGCATTTGGCTGTCTTCAACGTTTCGCTGCACATTCTAAATGGCTTTTCCGTAGTTTTCGCACCTTGCGAAACACACAAATCTTTACGCATTTACATACGAAACGAAGACGAAGAAGAAGGAGAAGACGAGCATAAAACAGCAGAATTTTCGTTTCGATTATTGTCGGTAGTTTTTTTATGCTCATTTTCTACATGAGCGCTGCTGGCATGACAAACAGTTTCACATAATGAAAATGAATCGCTCGCTGATTTTGTGTTAAATTTTAAAAACAAAAACGATATCTAAAAAATATACACAGGAAGAAGAAAAACATAAAAAGGGCCAACCGAAAAACCATTAAAAAAACAACAACAACTTGTGCGTCTTATAATATTCCGTATTTATATGATTTGCCTGCGTGCTGTTGTGTTGTCTGTTTACAGTGCATTCCATGTGAATATCTACTTTAACTAGCAGCTTAAGCACTTTGGATAACCTTTTGGAGTACTATAATAAATTACAATTTCGGCTGTGGATATACGCCTCGACTTGGATTAATTAGTTAGGAACAGCGCCATGTTGAACATTAGCTATCATATGTGCGCCTTTCTGTTGGGTGAGTATTTAAAAGCATATAAGGAAAAAAAAAAGATATTAAAAATGTTTTAGTTTCGTTTTGTTACTTGAGTAAAACGAAAATATTTAAATATTAAGAAATTTGAATTGTTTTACCTGCTTATTTCAAGATTTTCCATTCTAACACAATAGTTAATAAATAATATGAAAATATTAAATATGAAAGTATGATACAATGTAAAAGTGGCGGAAAAGTCAAGAAGTTTTTAAGTAACATATACATAAAATTTTTGATGATATTTTAAAAGAAATATTTAGAGAGGCGGAAATCAATATCTTACAAAAAGTTTATCTTATTTTTTAGGAATCACAATGAATAAAACACATTTGATCGAAAATAATTGGGCCAAATTGAAAAAAGATAATAATAATAAAGGATTGAGATTCAATATATATATATATATATATTATTAAAATTGCATTAACAAATTTGATAAAAAATATCTAAATATAATAAATTAATAATATTTTAGTGCAATAAATGCATAAATTTCTGTTCTATGTAGAAATGGAACAAATGCGTTAGAGGAGTTCAAGTTCTTTTGAATTAAGTTAGTTTTATTTCAATTGAAAAAAAAGAAATACTTTAATGCAAACAAAACACGCATATTTTTTTTTTTTGAGTGAATTGGACTATTAATTATTATTGATTGTGTTAAATTGTGGTTATGGCGGGTTTTATTTGACACAAAATAATGTTCAATAGAACTAGCTGATATAATGCTTGAAAATAAGTTTGCTCATACATTGCATCAAAAACAATTGAATTCGTTTCCTTATGGCATTCATCATTAGGGACTCTGGCCCATTGGTCACGTATCATATTAACCTTCCTTTTTGGCTTAATTACGCATTCCGAAAATCACATCGGGCAGAGCTCATCTCCTCTCGATAACTAATTCGCATGATCATTAGCTGGCGCTGCCTCTTTAATCTTTCATAATAGGAAATTATGCATTGACTCAAGGTCCGCACATTAACGTAACCAAGCATCTGTTTATGGGAGTTTCTATCAAAGCTTGTCTATGCCCGAGTCCAATTAGTTGTGAATTTCGCCAAGAGATGCTTCCAGGTAACCGTCTGGCCGAAATGAGAAAGATAAATGGATCTGAACAATTATACTTAACGGATATTGGGTCAGGCCCAAGATAATTATATGCGCATGTAAAATTTATTATAAGTCTCTTTAACGGACGCCTCCACGGAAGCTGCGTGCGACTCACTTGTCTGGTCTTGAAACGAGGAATTCAAATTGGTTTTGAATAGGCTAAGGAAAACAAAAGCGAACACACTCCAGACAAAAGCTCAAGCCTCAAACCGCAATCGGGCATCATCTGCCCAGTCATAGTTCACAGCGTTGCCCAAAACAAAGCCAGGGAAAAGTTTTGGGGGAATTGAAAATGAAATTCATTTGAATTAAATGCGAATCTTTAAAAGGCACGACAAGACGGAATCTTTCTCTCTTTCTCCAGTGCCTTGTATATATTCGCCAGATGATGAATGAGGCTCTGCGATTCGATTGCATAATCCCAGCCAGCCAGCCAGCCATCCAGCTAGTCAGTCACTCCGACAGCGAATTTGACTGCAATTTGTGCCTGGCCAGACGAAGCCGACGATGCCACAGCCAAGGCGATTAGCATTGGTTCTGCAATTGCCAGTGCAATTGCCTTAATTGCAGCAAGCGCATCTTCCGCTTGCATTTTGTAAGAACAGTGGCCGCAAAAAAACTGTAAGCCAGCAACAGTGCCAGCCATAAGTCATATACATATGGACGTCATGGTAATTAGGCGTTCGGTGGCTTTAAAGTCACGGAGTAGAAGTGGTTTTTTATGTACCCACATTTACTCAGGTTTCTTTTTGTTTTATTTTTTCGGTGCAGTACAAAAAATGTTTGGCTAGATTTGGGAAGTTACTGTGAAATGAAAATTTTCTAATTTCAGCAAAAATAGTTTTTTAATTTTATAATTCAGGCTTTTTATGCTATTTTTTTTTAAACAAGTTTTTATTTTAAAAATAAATAATGCTTTAATTGAAAAAAATATACATGCATACATATCAGAAAATTTTGTTTAAAAACAAGAAATTAATTATAGAATCTTTTTTTCAATATTTTTTTTTAATAATTAAAAAAATTTTTTTTTAGTAGACATTTAAGTTAAGTAAAGTGTTTTCATTGGAAAAAAATGTTAATTATTCTGGATAACAGAAAAATTAATTTAAAAACAAAAACATTTTGTTAAACTGCGGAAAAAAATATTCATTTTTGTGCAATTATCTAAAGGTTAGTAAGAAGACGGCTAACCATTTTTTTGTCGAGTGTAGTACTCCGCTTTGGTAATCCATAACATTTGATTGACATGGCATTTTAATTGTTTGACCCTCATATTGGGTATACATATGTGTTTTTTGTGGCCAATTTGGCAGCCGAATTGACACAAGTGTACAAATATCGCGGTGGGAATATTTGCGGTCTTAACGATGTCTTTTTGTATCAAAAAGCCATCAATTGTCAAATATATAAAAACAACAAAAAGAGATTAAAAAACAACACACACACGCGCACACGCACACAGAACTTAGATAGCGTCAGCCTTGAGCATCATTAAGTACCCAGGTACATACATACACGCACACACACAAACGGACACACGCATAAATCATGTGCCTCTGCTCGTGCCTCGCAAGCGAAAGTGTTGCGAGTGCGAGCCACATCAAGCTGAAGGTCAGACGAGCTGCTACTGCCCCACTGATCGTTGCACCACTTGAGTTTCCAACTATTTTTTTTGTTTATTTGAAGATTTAATTCACGATTTCTTCTACGTCTTTACAGCCATAACAACGGCCATGCTGTGGGCCAATGTGCTGGGGCAACAGGCGCAGCTGTTGGATGAGGATGAGGATGTCTTTGGCAGGCCCTGGCCCACGTACAGTCTGCAGAATATGCCCAAGACGCAGTTCACATGCCGTGACAAGATACTTGGCGGCTACTATGCCGATCCCGAGACGCAGTGTCAGATGTTTCATGTCTGTGTCAAGCTGCCCGGAGTGGGGGTAAGTGTTGTGGCGGGTGTGGCGACAGGTAAAGACAGCAACAACAACAACAAAAACAAAAACAGCGGCTGCGGCAAAAATGCGGCAAATATAAAAGAAGGCTTAAGTTAGGGAATAAGCCATAGGACAAAAGTATAGAGTATATGGTATAGAGAATGGAGTGTTGGTTATAGGGCATAGAGGCTATAAGAGGCTCTATTCGGGAGTTTTCGACAAGCGGATACAAAATATATAATTCCCTCCATATGAGTCAAGCTCGTAACATACTACACTACTTGTCACCGTCTGTAGTCAACAACCCTACAGCAACTGTTTGTAGGCAATGAAAAAAAAAAGAATTAAACAAGTACTCTCTTTTACCAAAACCGCAGCTTGCGTACCGATCTCATTCGCTTTAGCAGTAATTAAAATATATTTACTACAAAAAAGCAGTTTCCTCACTTGGAATCGAACTCGCAACATACCGCGCTATTTGCCACCATCTCTACTCAGCAACCATAGCAACAGTTGACTGCCAGCGAGAAAAACATGAATTCAAATAGCAGCACATACAACAATCGCAATGGCAACGCTGATGATAGAATTTAGAAAGCTACATGTTAAATTTAGTGGCTCTAAATCTCTAAAAAAAAACTGAATTCCGAAATCGATTCTTATTGATTGCTTGGAAAAAGTGCATTCTATAGATTATCGGAAACAAACTAGGACTGCGCGAGAGATCCCGCGTTCGACTCTGCTGTTGATGCTGATCAAGAATATATATACTTTATGGGTTCGGAGATGCTTCCTTCTCCCTGTTACATACATTTGCACAACTACATTATATCCCTTTTACCCATTTCTAATGGGTTCAGGGTACAAAAGTTCCAAGTGTAGCTCCTAAGGTTGCCAAGCTCTTACATACAGATAGATGGACATGGCTAGCCCCAGCTTTGGATCGTCAGCTAGTCTCCTCCTTCTCCCTGTTACATACATTTGGACATAACCAGTATACCCGTATTAATACGTTTCTAAAGGAGGTCACGGTATAAAAGTTGTAACAAACCGAATTAGTGTTTAATTACATCAGTTTTGGACTGGGGTGTATAAATATAAGAGTGCCTATCAGAGGGACTCAGTTATTCGAAATGCCTTTCAAAGTTACATTGTTTTTGCTTATCTGCGCTGCTTTGCCGGGTTATCATGTCCGTTGGACCAGCCAGGCGATCTTAAAAGATTAAGGAAATGTTTTATTTTACCAGAAAATATAAATATTTTTATTAAATTAATTTAAATATAATATATACAGTTATTTGTCTTAGCTGTAGTTGCCTTATGTGATGGGGTTTTGAGAAAGCCCGCTTGGCAAATGGTAGCCTTTTTTTGTTTGCCATCCGATCGGTCTCAAATTTCACTCCTTTGCGTAAATCTTGCCACGGGCAAAGCCGGGGAATACCTGCTAGACTATATTTATTTATTGAGTGTAACAAGCATATTATCAAGTTACCCCAAGGTGTGTGTGCCTTGCAAAGGTGCGCATTTAGTGAATCAACCATACATCTAAAATCAAATTTAGGAAATGTACAGAATACGCTGTAAAGCTTTTATTAACGATAGAGTTCTATTATATATAATATCAATATATTTAGTATATAAAATGATACTAATTGATTTGTTACGTTGACGAGCAGGCAAAAAGAAAGAAATTTTCCGGCAAACGTTTTAATCAGTTTTTAAAGCTTCCGCATTTGAAACTAATTTGTATGAGATTAACACATAGAAGAAGACATCTCCAACCCCATAAAGTATAAATATTCCTGTTCAGCATCAACCTGTTTGATACTGTCATGTCCTGTCTGTTTCTATGCAGTCTAGTCTCTCAGTTTTTAAGATATCATCTTGAAACTTTGCACAGTTCCGTAATTCTATTGCAGGCAGTAAATATATCGGAGCCGGCCGAATGAATGTTTACATAGGTCAATTTTTCTGTGGCAGGCAGTACAAATGTCAAAACGGGTCGGATTGGACCACTATATCATATAACTGTCATAGATCGGTCGAAAATGAAGTTCTTGTCTTAACAACTTTTATTTTGTTTGGCTCAAAAAAAGGATTTCGATATATATTTTTATCGATTACTTGGAAATGGATCAGTTTTCAATTATCGAAAACAAACTCGTACTGCGCGGGCACTAGGAGGAACTTCATTCCAAATTTTAAGTCCCTAGCTCCTAGAGGTTCTCAGATCCTTGCGTTCCTACATACGGACGGACAGACGGACATGGCTAAATCGAATCGGCTATTGATGCTGATTAAGAATCCATATAATTAAGGAGTCGGAGATGCTTGCGGTGCAGGATACAGCTTTTCGATATTAAGTTAAGGTTTTACTGCAAACAATCTGAGTTTATCCATAGTCTTCAGTCCAGATAGTTGGGAATTCGAACCGGCGACCACCAAAAAGATGTTTAGCATAAGTTAAAATTGATTCAATTTTAATAGATATAGATGCACGTGTCTGAGTACAGTCTAGCTGCATATTCATGTCTTTGTAAAAGGCATAGAATTTAATGTTCCCGCCGTTGGGGCCTCTTCCGAAAAGTAAAAAAAAAAAACAAAAAGAGGGAAACCGAGAAAACGTCTGATTCCGTTTACTTGCGGACGCCTTTTTGTAAAATCTTTCGTTTGGTTGCCGCTGTCGGCTAAATGGCAAATCTTCTGCAGCTCCAGCGCCGAACAGTCGTAGTCGGTGGACGGTGGCTGGTGGATGCGGGGTGCGGGTTGCAATGGGACTGATGAGACTTCGTGACTGCCAGGTTGTCAGCCGGTTGCAGTTGTAGCTAAGGCCAAAGTTAAAGAAAAAGCAGCATTTGCTCTCTGTATAAAGTGACCTTTAAGTGTAAAGAGCGTTCGGTACGTTTTCAGTTTCAATTGTCTGTCACATAGAGAGCGAGAGAGAGGGGTGGAGAGATCTAACGTCCGGACTTGGCGCAATGTCGCTGCAGCTCGCTGCTCTCCAACTGATTCATCTGATGCGTGCTATGCAGCTCATGGAAGATGGTATCAAACATCTTGGATAGCTGTGCCTCACGCTCCTGTTCCTGCAGCTGCAGCGCCAACCGCTGCTCTGACCACAGGCTCTTAAACATTTCTGAATACATGGCCAGTTTGCGCTGAAAGACGAGCCGTTGCTTTTGCACCTTCTTGTTGGCCTCGGCCAGGAGCAAATTCAGGCGGGTTAACATTTGATTTTTCTGCTCCAGCTGTTGGTTATTCTGCTCGAAATTTAGTGTCAGCTGTGCGAGTATATGCTGTATTTCCAGCATCTCCCCAAAGCTGGCTGCCGCATCCGCTTTGATGTGCTTCAGTTGGGCGCACAGCTGGCGTTGCTCCTCGCATAGCACGTTGTCACAGCTAATGAGTAGCTGTTCCTGTTCCTGCAGAAATTTATCATAGAATTGAATGGAGGTTGGATCTGATTTGGTAAAGGCGCTGCGCTGATTGCTGCCTGTGAACCCTAATTCCAGCTGGGAGCTGCTGCAGCTGATCTTAAGCAACTCCAGCAGCTCAAACAGCTGAAATTTGCGACCGCTGCCGCTCCAACATTTCAGGCTAAACATCTTTTCACTCAGGCAATGGCATTTGTTCCGCTCCCTCATATAGAGGGCCTTCCAGATTTTGGCGCAACCAATTGCCGATACCGTATCCAATTGTATATCCGGCACAGTTGTATAGTTAATAATAATTGTGGTCTCATCCTCGCCCAGCAAATCCTTTAGGATTCGTGTCAGCCGTATATTGTAATACCTGAGATGGGTTTTCGGATTGCCTGCTAGCGCACTGATGATCCTCAGCAGTGAGGCCATCGGTGTGGCCAGTTGTAGCAGCATCTCCGGCTGTTGGACACACATCAGATGGACTAGCTGCAGGCTGCCATGCAGGTGCATCGATTGCTCCAGATTGGTTTGCCTCACGCATATCGTGAACAGAGCATAGGGATAGTCATTGGCTGTCATCTTGTGATCCGACTGCTGCTGCTGCTGCTGCAGTTGTCCAATGACCTTCTCTATATACATGTAAACATCATGGGATGAGGCAACAAAATGTTCCCGTGCCTCCGTCAAGCAGTCATTGTCATCCGATCCGATATTATGGACCAACCGGTCTTGCACTACATAGTGCTGCATATGCTTGATGGATATGTTAATTTCCATGGTCACCTCCATGGTATAGACGTGGCTAAATAAATTATTTAGAATGCGATCGATCATATCCAATTTGATAGCACGATCATCCTCTATGGCTGTGCCATAATCGGGCCAGTTGCCATAGTTGAATATTGTGCTGGTTTTACCCTTGAGCACATCATCCAGAACACTCGCGATGGCCTCCTCACAGACGTCCGATTGATGTTGACTGAGCTCAGACAATTTGCGAAAAAGATACATTTTAGCCTATGGAAGGAATTGTGCGGCATTGAGTTGCGGCATGCAGCAAGCGGCAACCAGTTGCCTCTCTTACCATGTTTAACGAAATGAATTAGGTCCAGGCCACAATGGTACGAGTTTTGTGTGGTATCGAATTGAACTATACTATACATATGGATTTTGAGTTGTCAATTAGCCTACTGCTTCTGTAACTATGTCTACACAGAGACAAGAATCGAGAACGTTCACTTCAATTAACAGAAAATGTGTGCACAGCATCACCTGGCCTACCACGTCTACCACGGCTGCCGCCGCTGCCAATGGTTGCCACGGCTGCTGCTGATGCCGGATGCCACTAAAATGCCAAGTGCCACAGCAACACACACAAATGCCAAAGTTCGGCAACGGCCTTTGGCTTGTTAAAGTCAAAACCTTGCCGTCGATGTATTGTATACATTGTCACGATATGCGCAACGACATCTTTCGAGATCGTAAAGTATGCCTGCACACTGATATCATATCTTTGAGCGAATGTATTTCTTATACATCAATAGAATTATTACTAGTTTTCAATATAGCTGGAAACTAATAAACACAATTTATCAAAGCTCCTAAGGCCTTCGTTTGACTTCGAACCAGTCCGAGACTCGAACCTGCATCCCTGTACCCATTAAAAAAAACCCTCTTAACCTTTGTATCCACACATGCAAATTTATGCTTTGGCTATGAAGTCGAAGTATATATATTTTTCACCAGCTTAACATCCGTTCGTCTGTCCGTCTGTGTGAGCTCGTCGATCATACATATTAAATATATAAGTACATATATAAATTTAATATATATAATAAACTATTAATAAAACGAAAATTTAAATTGTAAAATTTAAATTTTATATAGAGTTTGTTAAGTTGGGACTAAAATTGGTTAAAAAAATCCGTTGAAGTGTTTAGAGAAAACAAATGAAAACTTGTTTTGGACAGGCTTAAAAAAGTATAATTGAACAAATATTCAGAACACTTTAAATTTGTTAAAAAAAAAAAAACTTTTTAAAATCTAGAAGAAAATTCCCAAAATATGTCTATTTATATACAATTTATAGTTGTTGGGATTTGCTGACCTATTCTTCATTTTATATAAGATGTCTCTATACTGCATTTTATGTGACTAAAATAATGCATCACTTTATTTAAATCATATTGGAAAACAATTTATAGATTCTCAAGTAATTTGTGATTGATTTTGCTGTTGTTGTTGTTGTTGTTGTGGTTGTTGCTGGTTTTCTCAATAACCTAAAGACAAAAGAAACAAAAAATAGCTTGAAACTAATTTTGCCCACTTATTAAATTGAATTTTGCATGTTGATCTGGTTATGTGCTTACGCTGTTAATGCTGTTAATGCCGTTTACTGTTTGCGCAGCTCTCACATCGAAGAGTTAATTCGTTTGTCCAACAGGTGCAGGACTATCGCTTCCTCTGCCCAAATAGCACTGCCTTCGATCAGGAGCTACAGATCTGCGCCAACTGGGCGGACGTCGACTGTGACAAGGCACCGGCATATTATGATGGCAACAATCTAAACGATTTATATCGCGGCGGCGAGGAGAGCAAGAGCCCCAACCAGGGCGAGGAAGAGGAGGGCACCTTCCATTTGCAGCGCGCCGAAAGTGGTCAGCAATATGCTCAGACATAATTATCCAATTATAATGTATTATTTATTTTTCGCATCCATTATAAACATTTGACCTGATTGCAGGTGATGTGCGTCGCTCCAAGGAGAATCGCGGCGATCAAAAGTCGCGCCCCAGACATAATTATGGGCAAACAGCGTCCAGTGGCAGTGCGGACAGCACGCAAACAACCAGGCGACCCATCACCAGCTATTATACACCCACGACAACAACAACGACAACAACAACCAGCACCGAGCGCAGCTACTACAACAACCACAACTACAACAACAACAACGATGATTCGAAGCGTAAGCCATCCAAACAATGGAATCTTCAAATTTATTACACAAATTAATCACGCGCTTGTCTCTGCATCTGCTTTTTTTCCCGCCACAGAAGACATCGATGATATCTTCAAGGGTTCCCACAGTTCGCACTTCTTTGCCAATCGCCATGGCGGTCGTGAATTCGACGAGGAGCCGGCTGTAGTTGCCCGTTCCAGACCCAACGATTTCAACGATTATAGTCGCAAGACCACGGAGACGGCCAGCAAAACGCGTGCCACGCCCACGCGGGCACAGCGTACCAGCAGTCAGATACCCGCGTTCACAGCAACAACAACAACCACTAGCAGCACAAGTGCTCCTACCAGCAAATCCCTGAAGAAGATAACGCTGCATGCCGCCTACAATACAGGCTTCCCGGACTACACGCAACATCATAAATCCAGTACGCCCAGCAGCGTGCCGCCCACGGCGGGCACCACGCCACGTCTGGGCAGCGGCATCACCAGCCGGTTTAGTTTTGGAGTGAACGACTATCAAACCCAGGAGCGCATACAGCCGACCACGTATAATCCGAACAATGGATATCGCTTCAAGAGCACGGAGCTACCCGCCAGCTCGACCAAGCTAACGGGCAAGAATGCTCAGGACTTTGACAAGGAGACGACCAGGCGTCATAATAAGCCCACGGTGGCAGCGCGCAAGCAAAAACTTGGCCCACAGGAGTCCAACTACATAAATCACAACGAGTTTGCCGAGCTGCCCAAAGCGAAGCTGCAGCAGCCCCAGCCTTTCCAGGCCACATCAGGTGCCACACGCAAGCCCGCCCAGCTGGAGCCGCAGTATCAGCGACCGCGTGCTAACGGTCAACAGTTGACGCGCGTGGGCAGTCAGGAGCCGGCGCCGTTTAAGACCTCGTCTGCTGCCAAGCCGCGTACCTTCACCAGCCGCGGCAGCATCACCTACAAGGCCACCACGCAGCGCTATGCCGACGATGAGTTCTATTACCCGACAACCACTAGCACGACGGCAAATCCCAGCAAGAAGTTGTCTACGCAAGCCTACACGCCCACCACCTTTAAGCCCACCACGTACAAGAAGTCCTACGAGACGAACTATTATCAGGCACCGCAAACGCTGCGTCCCAGCCAGAGTGCGAGTCCCAAGAAGACATCCGCTGTGACGCCGCAGTCGGTGCCGACCACTACGGCCAATCCGTACTACAATGTGGATGAAGATGACGGCCAATACCATCCGGAGCTATATGAGAATGATTTTCCGCGCAATCGTTTCAAGTTTCTGCGCAACAGATCCACCAGCTCTGGTACCACGACAAGCACGACTAGCGCTCCGGTAGTCAGCCGGCAGCCACATGGCTTCCATCAGGCGCACAGCCATCTGAAGAGCCAACAGCAGTCGGCGTATCAGAAGGAGCGCGAACAGGAGCAATCGGATCTGAGCGACGAGGATGAGCTCTTCAAGACGGCGCAGTCGCTAAACTTTGGCGCTGCCAGCATTAACAAGCTACGCGCTGACATCTACAAGGCGGAGAAGACATCACAGCAGTATAACTCGCAATACAGTCCACAGCTGGCGCCATCTAGTCCGAAGACGACCGCACAGACGAGCAGCAGCCCAACAACCACAACCACAACGAGCACAACAAGACGCCCCACAACAACCACAACCACAACGACAACAATAACTACAAAGCCAACCACAAGCTCCGCCTTGGAGCCCAAGAAATCAGCGAAGAGCAAAAAGGAGGATAAGAAAAGCAAATCCAAACGGCCGCCACATGCCGATGAGGATACCAGCTACGACTATGCCTACTATGACACGGACTGAGCTTCAGTTCCGGCCCAGCCCCTACATTTAACTGCAAGCTCCATATTTTGTATTCCTTCATCATAAACTATGAATGTTCATAGCATAAAAGCATGCATCAACTAAACATCCCAATCCTCTCCAGCAGCAATAATATAGGTGCCACAGTATTTTATACAAACAACAAAAAATGAAGAAGAAGAAGAAAGAAAACTACCCATTTTGCGATTGCTCGAATTTTTCATTGCCTTCGGCTGCTCGCACAGCCCTCGAATACCCATTAACACTCGCGTACATTCATTCAATCAAATGCGTTCTAATGAATTTCCATGCGTGTATCTAGTTATTTAAATAAAACAAACATATTTTTAGTCGTTAGACAATTGTTAAACTGAAAGGAAGCGAAACACAGAAAATATTCAAGAAAAACAAGTACATTTCGACCTGGAGCCAGCTAAATTCAAACAAAATATTTCTATTCAACAATTTGTATTTGTAATGATTTTCGATTGTATTGTATTGCGAAATTATTATTAATTTTAAGTTTTCTTGTAAATAAAATGATAAATAATATTTTTTCGCTTAATATTAATAATAGTTTTCGCTTAGTGCTTGCTGTCGTTACGAAATAAATAACGAATAATTTTTAAATGGTCAATGAAAGCGCGCCAAGATGTAGCAGCTGTCGTTATCGATTCTTTGATTGACTATGCAGCCCTGGCATATCGATGCTTGATCTGAAATATTGGTATCGAAGCCGTAGCTGGCAAATCAAATACACGAATGCAGCCCTTTTAGCGCGTAAATTTAAATAAGCCTGTTTTTGTGTATTTAATTAAATTTTAATTTAGTTAATCTTAAATCATATAAATTAGCTTAGTTAAAATGTGTGCAGTGCAGTTAAAATTGCGGCGCTTAGTCTTTAAATTTCTGACGCACGCAGCGCGGCATTGGGAATAAATAGAGCAGCATATTGAAGGCAGCCAAGCCCACGGCAAAAGCGCAGGACGCAGCCACATCAATAGTTTCCTGTAGTCAAGAAGGAAAGTATGACAATAAACTTATAGATGAATATGTATGTCATATAGTTAACTCACATCTGGATCGGGCAGGCCCAAGCGTTCGTGCATAAAGTCCGCTGGCTTGGGGCAAATCACGGAGGCAGTGGGCGTGCAGTTCAGCTTGCGCGTCTGAAAGGCGATGCTGTGCAGCAGCGAGGAGGCGTAACGTGTGTGTGTGCCCTTTGTGTTGTCCTGCAGCCAGGGCTGCAAGCCCTTAAAGGAGCTGTAGAATCAAGTAATATTAAATGTATATTCAACAGACGCTGAACTTGCAACTTGCCGCACGGTGCCACTGGCCAAGGCAATGCTTATGACCAGCACATAGGTCACTGCAATGGCTGCATTAAAGGGCACCTTAACCACCAGCAGAAAGGATATGCTCATCTGTTCGGCCAGGACAAAGCTGGACCATAATGCCACAAAGAGATAGGCAAAAACGGTGCCATTATTGAACTTGGTATCCAGTAGCAAGCTGCAAATTTATAAAGAATGAAAAGAATTTTAAAGATGTCTAGACCTTCATCTAAATAGGTTTAGATGTAGATACAGATGGGACCAAATCTGAACTTACGGGTAGATAACACAGCTCGCCAAGACTGCAGAGACCGCTGAGAAGGGTATGGAAACGGAATTGTAGGCAACGAGCAGCGTGGTGCCCGAGTAGAGACCCTCCGGTGTATCCTGCGAGAACTTTTTGCGCCAAATGGGAACTGCAAGACGTAGAATTTGAACTGGGAAACTTAAGATAAGCTTATATAGCTCACATAAAGATATGGTGGTCAAAATGCCGCAGCCATAGGACAGACCAAGTATATTCAGTATCAAGCCATTTCGGGTAAAGAAGCCACTCGCATCATCCTATAAGATTCAGAACAGGTATTAGGCAAAGATAAACCCGAGGTATATAGGAACACCCACGCCAAGATTTGTGTAGAAGGCCCACAAAATGGCCATGGCTATGGGCAGGAGCAGCAAACGGAGGAAGAGTGTCTTCATACCGACCACTCCACATGAAAAGGTGGAGGCCAGCAGTTTTCTAAAAATCAAAATAAATAAGAACTAAGTTTCCCAGAAGAATATTTTAAAGATGCGCTAGTTCGATTGCTTACAAATAGAGCATGATCCAAACTTTGAGTTCACCGGGCTTTCCATAGGCCAGTGGAACCTTGCCCGAGCCCATGTTGTTCAGCGGCGCGTCGGAGATGGGTGTTTCTCTAGAGAAGCGCTCGACGAGCGCCTCAATCTGCTGGCTGGACTCTAGAAAACGATCGCGACTGCGACGATCCACAGTGGAGAGGCACAAATAATACATGAGCGGATTCTCCAACTGGGGACATGGAAACCCAATGGCATGAAAGTACTCCAACATGGCTCGAGTGCCGCCCGAGTAGACAACTCCGCCCAGGCACAAAAACAGCGCTCGATCCAAAAAGGGAAAGACATCGGAGCGTGGCTTCTCCAGCGACAACAAAATGCCGCAGCCCGTCTTCTTGGCCGTATTCGAGAGTATGGAGATGAGCAGATAGGCGCTCAACGGATCCAGACCCTGCGTAGGCTCATCCAGCAGCAGCATGACTGAAAGTAGCTCAAGCTGAGTAGAACCGGATGTGATTGACTAGTCTAGGATTAGATGACTCACCCGGATCTCGGACCAGCTGTATGCCAATGGCCAAGCGTCTGGCCTCGCTGATGTTCAAGTACTCCACGCGCTTGTGGGCCACCTGCGACAGCGCCAGATCTGCCAGCACCTGACGCACCTTGGAGCTCTTCAAATATCCACCCAGCTGCAAGAAGCAACAGCTTTAACTCATGAAAATTCGAGGATAAGGCCTGCACTTACAATGGTGGGCGTGTAGTGTAGTGTCTGGGCCACTGTCAGGCCGGGCACAAAGGTGCAGGATTGGGTTACATAGCCGCAGCGTTGCTGGAACAGCGCCTTGCTCAGCGGCGATCCATTGAGCAGCACCTGACCACGGGTAGCGCCATCCGCGCGCCTGGCTATGACGTCTAGCAAAGCGCGTTTGCCGCTGCCTGAAAAAATACAGCATGCCTTAGAGCCGGAACGCTATGTAGTTGAGCTGCCTACCCTTGGAGCCCAGAATAGCCATCACCTCACCACTGTGCACGGTCAGGTTGACACCTTTGAGCACCAGCGCCGAGTTGCCGGCACCATTGAAGCAGCCACCACCGTCAACCTGGAAAGAGAGCGCACAGGAGAGCGGACCCAAAACAAAAGACTTCAATTGGAAATTTAGCTCCAAGCACTTCCAGTACACTTGCCTCGGTGGTGTGGAATATGTTGTGCGCTTCCAGTACGTAATCGCTGCCAATCATTTTCATAGCCAAAAACGAAAATAACTCTTCGGAAACAGCTTTGTTTGTTGTTCTTCTGCTCTATGCCTCACACGCTGTACGCCGTTGAAGAGCGGCTCAAAGAACTCGCAGTGCCTGGAAGTAAACAGTGCACAACACTGGCATGAGCGTTGAGTTGCGAGCCAAGAGAGAGAAAGCGAGGAAGAGAGGAAGAGTGAGAGATTGGGAGAGCGCAAGCTGTATTAGAATTTGTAGTATAATTCTTTCGAATTTATTCACTCGAGTATTCAAAACTATGCACTTATAAATATGTATGATTGATTAATATTTATTTATTTTGTTTTATTAGTAATATTATGTTTTTAAAAAATACAACACACCACAAAAAAAATGTAATAATAACCGTGCACACGTCTAAACCAATTGAGCGCACAATTCCAACTGTCGCTGATCCGCACACAAGCCACAAGACAATTCCAATTGGAAGCATAAGCGCTGGCAAGTGGAATGCGTTGCGCTCTCTGCGCTTCCAGGCGCGCTCGCGCATAAACACATACACACATTCCAATGCAGCGCGCAACTGGCTAAGATGGCGTCCGAGGCCAAGTTCAGCTCAGTACGGTTTGAGCAGAGCACCGAGAGAGTTGTCCACTGCGCCGCTGGCTGAGCTGTGCACGTCTGTTGGCTCTGCGCAAAATAAAGTGAACAAAAAATAACACAAAAATAACATAAAATTGGCAATACGAATTATTATTAATAAGAAAAAAACAAACAAAGACTGCGCGCTTGAAAATCGAATTGAAATGTTGACGGCGTCACAAGCGAAATAAATGCGGTAGTAATATTAATTTCTATATATATTCAAATACAAATATATATATATGTATTTGTTTATTTATTAATGGCAATGTGCAAGTGCATGCAAATGTGGTTTCTGAGCCGCGGCCTGTGTGTGTGACAAATCAGTTTGCAAATAGCTTGCAAATAGCCTGCAAATAGCCTGCAAGCGGCATTTGTTTTCGGCCACACCACACAAAATTGTCCAATAAGAAACGCAAAACTGTGCGTGTGCGTGTGTGCGTGCGTGTTGCCTGTGTATTTATGGAATATGCACGGTGTGCTACAACAACTACAACAACAACTTTAGCTAAATACAACAAGCAGCAATAAGCAAATACGGCCTGGTAAGTACTTTGAGATACAAATGTATCTTTTGGTCGCTCGCAATTTGCATTTCGTGGCGCTTTTTGTTGTCCATTAAAGTTTGTACAACTGGTATTAACTGTTAATTTTTATTAAATACAGCCCAAGCCAAGCAAGCAACACTTGCCAGCTCTAAAATAGATACACCCATGTGTGTGTGCGTGTGTGTGTATGTGTATGTGTATTTGTGTATCTATATGGCTCAGCCGAGGCGTTGACGGGCGCTTTGCTCCTGCTCCACGTTGTTGATTTCTTGGCCGCTCTGCGGTCGTCGCCATTGCAGGTCAAAGATCCCACAAGCAAGTTTTGTCTAGCAAACGTTGTTGCCTCGTTCTTTAGCCAGCGTCTATCGTAGTTTCCACCATTTCCACTGCTTCCACTTCTCTTTTTTTTTTTTGTAATACTCTTGTCGAGGGTATTATTGTGTTCTCATGAAATGTGTAACGCATGAAAGGAGTTTTTTTCCAACCCCATAAAGTATATATATATTCTTGATCAGCAACAACAGACGAGTCTTTACGGCCTTGTCAGTCTGTTCATCCCGTTTAAAGCCAACTTGCAGGCAGTATAGAAGTCGGCATTAATCGGATCCACTTTACCGCCGTAGAATCAATCGAAAATAATGTGATTGAATAAACAAATAATATAATAT